TAAATTCTTGATACTGTAGGATTCACAGTTTGTCTGGTTTGTGTTGACAACCACTGTACTACCATACTGTATACAGGTAATAAATTCCCTTTATTTTCATTTAACAATAAATGTGTACCGTATTCTTCTTCATGGAAAAATAAGACATCCCCTGAAAATAGGACCTAGCGCATCTTTGGGAGCAAAAATTAATATAAGACACTGTCTTATTTTCAGGGAAACAGGGTATGTGGTATTTGTCTTCCTCTGTCTGGTTTTTATAACTTTGAGATAATGCTCTCCAGATTCATCTATGTTGTTAGAAATGGCAGGATTACCTTCTTTGTTGTTGTTAATTCTCACCTGAGGATATTTTTTCCGTTGATTTTTAGACTGAGTGGAAGGGGGGAAAAGAGGGGAAGATGGAGAGAGAGATGTGAGAGAGACATATATGTCTCATCATCAGAGAAGTACAAATCAAAACAGTGTTGTTCTATATGACTTTTTCCTTAGTGTAATGGCAAAGTCCTCAAGAAATTCAAGTTCTTAATTTTCCCCCCCTTATCTTGACACCAAACTCTCTACAACAAGGCTTCATTCTCATCTCTCAAAGGAAGCCTTCATTCATTCTTTGAAACAACCCACTCTTTCAAGATGGATTGTACTGTACTCCCAGCAGTTATTTCCTCAAATTTTGGAGTCTGTTCTGAACAGTATGCTTCCCATGAGTGAATACCTCCCTCAGTACTACTGGCATTTTAGACCGAATACGTTTTTGTTGTGGAGGAGTGTCTTGTGCATTGTAGGTAGCATTTCTGGCCTCTACCCACTATGCCAGTAGCAAAACTCCCTTTTGAAACTCAAAACTGTTTCCAGTAGGGTTCTGTTCTTCCAAAGATGCAATTCTTTCTATTGGTTCAATCAGTGGTGGTAAGGATGGGCCTACCAGAACTAGAGGTTATCAGGGAGGAAAATCTTTGAATTTAATATCTCCCCCTAAATATTACACTGAGAATACATTCTAAGAACATCATGTATGAAGTTTGAGTACACGGATGGAAAAGCAATGTTACCATAAGTAAGTTTGGAAGCATGAAACTAATTTTTTTTCCAAATATATTTTATTGATTTTTTTTTTATAGAGAGGAAGGGAGAGAGATAGAGAGCTAGAAACGTCGATGAGAAACATCGACCAGCTGCCTCTTGCATACCCCCCACCGGGGATGTGCCCGCAACCAACGTACAGTACATGCCCTTGACCGCAATCGAACCTGGGACCTTTCAGTCAGCAGACCAACGCTCTACCGCTGAGCCAAACCGGTTTTGGCATGAAACTCATTTTTGGAATGCATCACTGGTACTCCCCAATATCCTCCCTTCCTTCCAGGGCATATAATAATAGAAAACTACACTTCCCAGAACCACTACAGTTTGATGGGGCCAGCTGAGAGGTCTAGCCAGTGAAACATGAGTGGAAGGAGAGGGTCGAGGCAGTGAAAAACTGCTGGGTGGTGCTACAGAGTTCCTTTTTCTTTTGAATATGGAGTCTCATGTTGATATGGCTGAGCTAAAGATCAATTAGTCTGGTTTATTTACTTTATTATTTTTTATTTTATTTTATTTTATTTAAAATATATTTTATTGATTTTTTACAGAGAGGAAGGGAGAGAGATAGAGAGTTAGAAACATCAGTGAGAGAGAGTCATCGATCAGTTGCCTCTTGCATACCTCCTACAGGGGATATGCCTGAAACCAAGGTACATGCCCTTGACCGGAATCGAACCCTGGACCCTTCAGTCCCCAAGCCGAAGCTCTATCCATTGAGCCAAACCGGTTTCGGCTATTTATTTTATTTTTTAAAATATATATTTTACTTTTTAAAATATATATTTTATTGATTTTTTACAGAGAGGAAGGGATAGGGAGAGAGAGTTAGAAACATTGATCAACTGCCTCCTGCAGACCCTCTACTGGGTATGTGCCTGCAACCAAGGTATATGCCCTTGACCGGAATCGAACCTGGGACCTTTAAGTCCATAGGCAGATGCTCTATCCACTGATCAAACTGGTTTCGGCCTAGTCTGGTTTATTGAGATACTGCTTAAAGTACAGTTATCCTGTACAGTTGCCTTGACTTGGTGTGAGTAAGAAACAACTGTTTATTATGTTAAGACACTGCAATTTTGCAATTGTTTATTACCAGAGCACAAGCTATTTCAATATAATATCCTCTTTCGGCCACTGGTCTATTTCCTAATTAATGAAGGTAACTCTGATTAGGGAAGGTGAGGTGTTTTGCTAGAAGAAATCTTTTTTTTTTTTTTTAATAAATAATAAAATAATTACTGATTCAAATATATATTTACTGAGTGCTTGGAATGTGCCAAGTACTGGACATATAACAGTATATCAAACAAACACAACTTTTGCCCTCATGGAGCTTATATTCTAGTAGGAAAGTCAGCAAAAAAGTAAATCAACAAACAACATATAATACTTGTGAGTTAGGATAAGTATATGAAGGAAATAAACAATGGCTGAGTTAAATATTAAGAAATGGGGATTCTACTTGATTGAACCCTTTTCTTCCCTTTCGTATCCTGTTTATCAGTAAATTCTTCAGTGTTTAACTAAAAAATATATCAGCCCTATGCTAAAATACCGAGAGTTATGAGGAGAGGGATTATCTAGCCTGCCCTTTTGTGTTAGATATGATGGGTTCGGGGACAGGTAAAAACTGAATATTGGGTGACAGAGAGACTAGAATACAGGTTCCTGTCCAGTTGATTGTCACTGATTTGAGTAGAACTTGGTCTCCTGTTAAGAAGGGATGTAGAAAAAAAATCCCTGACACATGCCCAAATCATTAATTATAGCAGTGTTTGATTAGGAACCTGGGTGGAGTTTGCTGAGATAAGCCCAGGATAAACTGTTACTGCCTACAGCTTTCAGAGTAGCAGACTCAGAGTGATTGAAGCCAGGAATCCTCCTGGTTTTCAGCACCACATGTTAGGGTCCCCTAAGGAATGCATGAGGCCAAAAGTGGTATATATTTACTAGAGGTCCAGTGCATGAAATTCATGCACTCATCGGGGGTGGGGGTGGGGGTGGGGGGGGTGTCCTCAGCAGTTGCACCCTCTTGCAGTCCAGGAGCCCTTGGGGGATGTACGACTGACAGCTTAGGCCCATGAAGAGTGGGCCTAAGCGGTCAGTCGGACATCCTTAGCATTGCTGTGGGAGAGGTGGCCATTACTCTTGCCAGCTGTGAGCCCAGCTCTGGGCTTCTGGCTGAGAGGTGCTCCCCCTGTGGCAGTGAACGTCATAACGATCCATCATTCCCTCATAGCAACCCATACTTCCCTTGTCCAGTCAATTTGCATATTCACCTTTTATTATATAGGTACCAGCCTACAGGGATGGGGAGGCAGTGATTTCAAAGGACTGACTCTAAGTGGGCTTTTTCAGCTGGGAATTCTCTGGGCAGGTCCAGATCTTGGGCAAATCCTGAGGGGAAAATTACTGGTCTTAGCAAATGAATGTGGTGTAAGCTAAAGGAAATGTCAGTAGCAAAATGATCTAAAAGTTAGTTTCCCACAGGGAGAGGGTATCGATTTGATTAATTTGATCAGATCTTCCAACTTTATTTCAGTCTATTCTTTACTTGCTTTTTAAGTTTTCCCCACAGTGTTGGCTTCACCTCCTGGCACTTGGGAAGTGCTACCTCTGAGGGCCCCTGCACTTGCTGCCCTTTGCTCTGGGAAGCTCTCTCCCTTGCCACTACTCTCCTTGCCATTTCCCCCTCCTTCCAATGTCAAGGCCTCTTATCAAACTGGTCATCTTACTTTTGCCTTCTCAGGAAAGCCCTCTCCAATTTATCTTGTTTAAATGAGGTTCTTCCAAGGGATCCTACTATCCCACATCCCAAGAACGCTGATTTTTTTGGTTCCATCAAACTTTTAATATATTTTTATTGAGTTTTTACAGAGAGGAAGGGAATGCTAGAAACATCGATGAGAGAGAAACATCAACCAGCTGCCTCCTGCACACCCCCCCACTGGGGATGTACCCGCAACCAATGTACATGCCCTTGACCAGAATCGAACCTGGGACCCTTCAGTCCTCAGGCCGACGCTCTATCCACTGAATCAAACCGGTCTTGGCTTGTTCCATGAAACTTTAAAAAAAAAAAAAAAATATATATATATATATATATATATATATATATATATATATATATATATATATATATTATTGATTTATTACAGAGAGGGAGAGAGATAGAGAGCTAGAAACCTCCACGAGAGAGAAACATTGATCTGCTGCCTCCTGCACAATCCCCCACCAGGGATGTGCCCACAGTCAAGGTACATGCCCTTGACCAGAATCGAACCTGGGACCTTTCAGTCTGCAGGCCGACTATCTATCCACTGAGTCAAACCGGTTTCAGCTCCATGAAACTTTTTTTTTTTTTTTTTTTGTGTGTGTGTGTGTGTGTCACTTTAGTATAAGTGTGAATGGTAGGGACCTTGTTTAATAGGCTTACAGTGCACGCAATGCTTGCGCACAGCAGCCGGGAGTGAAGTACCCTAGGACTTGCCCAGGTCGCCGCAAACCCGCGGGTGGCAGTAGTAACAGGACCTCCCCGAGTTGTCTGAGCGAAGGAATGAATGGTTCCTCTCACACGAAAGCGTCCGCACGCCCGTCGCGGCGGCAAGGAAGCCCGGGATCCCACCCGAGGAGAAAAGCCAAGACTCCCTCCCGCAGCCCAGACCCTTGCTGGCTCAGGTGAGCGCAGCCGCCGCCCAGACGCCCTCACGTGACCGCGGGCGGCGCGCGCACGCAGACGGCGCCTGCGCGTCCTCTCCCGGAAGTGGCCGGACCGGAGCGCCAGCGGAGCGCCCCGTCCGTCCGCCGGTGGGTCCGCCAGTCCGCCAGCCCGGCTTCCCGGCCGCTCCTCAGCCTCGGTCGCTTGTCCCGCAGTTGCTTTGGCCGGAACGTCGGCGGCGGCGGAGGAGCTCGCCATGGCGACGTTCATCTCGGTGCAGCTGAAGAAGACCTCGGAGGTGGACCTGGCCAAGCCGCTGGTGAAGTTCATCCAGCAGACGTACCCGAGCGGCGGCGAGGAGCAGGCCCAGTACTGCCGCGCGGCCGAGGAGCTCAGCAAGCTGCGCCGCGCCGCGCTCGGCCGCCCGCTGGACAAGCACGAGGGCGCGCTGGAGACGCTCATGAGGTGGGCCCGGGGCCGGGCTCGGGGCCGCCTGCAGCCTGCCGCCCCCTTCCTTTCTCCTCCTTCCTTCCTCCTCCTCCTCTCCCACTTCCCTGCCTCACACCCTGGGCCCAGACCCGGCCGCCCCGCTGGCCTGGTGGGGCGCGTAGGTGTGGTCTGCATTCCTTCCTGGTGAGCAGGAGCCGCCCCGCGGGCTGCGGCTGCCTCTGCCCGGGCTCCGGGAGGGATCGGCTCTGCCTGGCTCTGCCCGGGCTCCGGGAGGGATCGGCCCTGCCTGGCTCTGCCCGGGCTCCGGGGGGATCGGCCCTGCCTGGCTCTGCCCGGGCTCCGGGAGGGATCGGCCCTGCCTGGCTCTGCCCGGGCTCCGGGAGGGATCGGCCCTGCCTGGCTCTGCCCGGGCTCCGGGGGGGATCGGCCCTGCCTGGCTCTGCCCGGGCTCCGGGGGGGAGGATCGGTCCTGCCTGGCTCTGCCCGGGTTCGGGGGGGATCGGTCCTGCCTGGCTCTGCCCGGGCTCCTGGTGGGGGGATCTGCCCTGCCTGGCTCTGCCCGGGCTCCGGGGGGATCGGTCCTGCCTGGCTCTGCCCGGGCTCCGGGGGGGAGGATCGGTCCTGCCGGTTCGCCGCAGCCCTCGGTCCTCCCGGCTCGGAGGATCGAATATCTCGGAGGAACCGTCCGCCACGGACGGATCGATCTCTCTCATGCCACATTTACTCAGAAGTAGGCCCCCCCCCCCCCTTTTTTTTTGGTGGTGAGGAATGTCTTGAATTAAGACTCATCCTCCCACCCCCACTTTTTTGGATTTCTTGGCCAGATTTCAGTTTCAAAATAGAGGTTGCTTGAGGGATGTAGGAGAATTGGGACAAATGTCTGTTAGTTATTACATTGTCCACTTGAAATGAGCCCATCTTCCTAAGTTCATCAGAATCAAATGACAGAAAATTGGAAAATTCCAAAGGTTATAGGAGCTGCCGTTCTTTGAAATTACACGTGAGGGACATGCTAGAAGGTGCGAGAGAAATAGCTTAAAATCACTCTGTTCACAAGCAGGTTGTGCACATCTTGGAGTACATTTGTTACTTTACAAATGCTTATGGAGATCGTTAATGAGAGTTCCTTTTCTGGTACTTTGCAGTTAGGATAACAGAACACTTTAGAGTTTAACATTACTTTTGCCTAATCTCATTTTCTACGTGTAACATAGTCTCCTTGTGTAACAGGGCAAACATGGCAGTGTTAGGTTATAAGTACAAGCCCAGGTTAAAGCAGTTTATTTGCCTGATAACAGAAGTTTAGTGATATTGCTTCCTTAGCTTTAGGGAACACTGGATAGCTTCTCGCCTCCATGTTGATTCCTTTGTAGCTGGGATTTGTTCCTGGATTGGGGAGAGATGGCCACCGGTGGGTCTCCTGTAATTACAGAGTCCTTACACTCAGGATCATACATAGGAGAGCGCCTTTTCTCCTTCGCTCTGGCGGAAGGCCATGGGAAGCTCCTCTGTTTGGGTTGGCGTGTGCCATTTATGAAGGTGGTTACGTGTGCTAATTTCATTGCCAGTCACTCAGCTGGTTTAACTTCTCCATCCCCCATGGATCAAAGCAATAGAGAATGAGGAAGACCTGGTTCCCACAAAAGGAAGATACTGAATAGATTGCTTAGAGAGATGATGATCTCTTGGTGTCAGTTTTAAAGATAAGACTGTTGGGCTGTAACTATCATTCATTTGATACTTAGTATGAGCATAAAAAAAAAAAGTTAATGCCACAGCTGGTTTGGCTCAGTGGATAGAGCGTCGGCCTGCGGACTGAAGGGATCCGGGTTTGATTCCAGTCAAGGGCATATGCCTGGGTTGCAGGCTCCGTCCCCAGTGGGGGGGCGTGCAGGAGGCAGCTGATCGATGCTTTTCTCTCATCATTGGTGTTTCTCTCTCTCTCCTCCTCTTCCCTTCCTTCTGAAATGGATAAAAATATACTTAAAAATTAATAAAAAAGTTAACCTAGGAATAGTTAGGCATCCTTTAGAATTAACAAACTTTAACAAAAATTTCCAAAGCAATTTTTATGTAGACATGAATAGCATTCAGTGTGGTTTTTCCATTAGTAGTATTAAAAAAAACATGGGTATAATGAACACTATGATAACAGTCTTCTTGAATAGAGTGTTTGTTTTGGTACCAACCCTTAAGGAGCTTGGAGTTTTCCGTGACAATTGATGCAGGGATTTAAGACTAACAGACAAGAAAGAATGAATAGTGGATTGTGGTACGGATAGAGTTCTGGTGTGAACTTTAAACCTTCACTCATTTGTTTATCCCTTTATTCTTTTCCCAGGCATAAATGTGAAAACTGTTCCTAGGTATAGGGCTGATGCACAAATAGCCTCTTTGAAACTGACCATGTTTCTTCAGTCTCCTTCATATTATCCTCTCCTCGCTCATTTATTATCAACTACTTCCCTCCTCCCCCCTTTCACTTCTTACTCTTTTTTTTTTTTTTTAAAAGATCTCACACATTTATTACTGAACCATCCTACTATTGCAGAAGGGAAAAAAAAATCAACAGCAAAATCACAAGTCCATTAATTCTCCAATTAAAATGCTCCAACTGTCCAGATGGTAGCATCTTTTCAATCATTTAAAGGTGTAGGCAACCTGGATACAGCATAAATATGTGAGTCATCTGTCATGAGTGAGTTCTCATAGGCCCAGTTTGGTTCTTCTCCAATGTCTCCTCTTCGAATTGTACCTAATTTTATTACCAGTTTTCATCCGAATCCATTGGGGAATGGGCCGATTCTGCTTTTGTTTCTTGGCCAGGAACCTCTTGATCTTGAAAGTCTTGCGGGAAGACATGGTGAGGGAGAGGCGAGTGTGCACCTCGATGGCGGAGAAAGAGCTTACTTCTTACTCTTCTAGTAGAGTTAGGATAAGTTAATAGACATACTACAGACTGTTGGAGGTCTATACAAAAGTTTTATAATGGAGGTCTATACAAAAGTTTTTTGGGTATATATCTGTAAAAGTCAAACATTTGTGAGATACGTGTTCCAATCAAACAATATTGTTTAATAATTATGTTGGATAATTGTGTAAATAACATTAATTTACATATTTTTAACTTAATGAATTTTTAAATACAATTTTCACAAAGGAGGGGTTAAGCTAATTCCTAAAGAATAGAAGCTATTATAGCTTGATTAGCACTGGTACACTGCTCCACAAATAGGTCCAGTGATAGAGCTGCCTTTTTATTATTACTAACATGGAGATATTCCAGTAAAATTTCCTAAAATACACTCTTACGTGTATTATGTTGAGAAAGTAGTGTCATCCTGTATAAAGTAGCTTTACTAAAAATTGATTAGAAGAGCCTTGATAAATGGTGAACTTTAGGGTGATCAGATGGGAATCCTGTATTATAATTTTTTTTGGGATGGGGGGTAGAGGAAGCTCCAGTGTTCATGTCTTTTGTAGTGATTAGTATTTTTAGAGAGGAAGCTTGCAGTCTCTTTCCATGAAAAAGTTTGGTTGTCAGCTTTCTGAAATTTCATTGGGGAATTGGATGTTGGGGATCTCAACTACCATGTATGCAGTCTTTTATACCATCTATTTTTAGTGTGGCGCCTGTATCAGCTTTGGATTCAGCTGCATGTGGTAGATCTCAAGTTATCAGGGAATTAAATTATGATTTTACTCCTGTGTAGACAGTGGTAGAGAGGTAGTCCATGGCTGGTTTAGTGGTTCTGTTAGTGGTTCTGATAGTCCATGGCTGGTTTAGTGGTTCTGTTAAGTTCATCAGGCTTAGGCTCCATCCAGCTTTCCATTCTATAGAATCCTTTTCCTCAGGGTCCGGATAGCAGTCATAACCAAGCGTAAGATAGCAGGAAGGGCCAAAACCGGTTTGGCTCAGTGGGTAGAGCATCGGCCTGCGGACTAAAAGGTCCCAGGTTTGATTCTGGACAAGGGCATGTACCTTGGTTGAAGGCACATCCCCAGTAGGGAGTGTGCAAGAGGCAGCTGATCGATGTTTCTCTTTCATCGTTGTTTCTAACTCTCTATCCTTCTCCCTTTCTCTCTGTAAAAAAATCAATTTTATATATATATATATATATATATATATATATATATATATATATATATAGTTAGCTAGCAGGAAGGGAGGAAGGAGATAGTACGGAAACTGCCTCACAATACCCTGCTCATATGTAATTGGCCGTTATGTATGCCTACATCTCATGGAAGGGCTGGATAAGAAAAGGAATTTTTATTAAAGGCAGCCGCATACCCAGCTAAAATCTGGGTTTTGTTAGTAAGGAAGAAGGAGAGAGAATGATGTTGACAACATTCCTAACCAAAGCTTCTCAGTACCCATCCTCTCCACTTAGCTGTGCTTGATAAGCCCTAACATTTCCTGTAAGTCTGCTCTCCGAAAACAGGATCTGGTAGTCAAAGGTTCCAGAGATTTTTCCACTGCACTTTCTCTTCCCAGCCTCATATTGAAATCCTGTCTTCAGTGGTACCTCATGTTTCTTAATTCAGATTCTTGTTGGCTTCTCTGACATGATTTGACTTATATTTTGTTAGCTCCCTGTCCTCAGGCAGTTAGATTTTTAGCTTTATCTGCTTCCTTCATTTTTTACCCTTTTCAGAATTTCACTGAAACCTCTTGCATGCTGTTGTGCCCTATCCCATTTTTCTTTGTGCATTTACATCTTTTTAATTTTAATTAATTTTTTAGCCCTAGCTCAATGGATAGAGTGTTGGCCCGTGGACTGAAGGTTCCCAGGCTTGATTCTGGTCAAGGGCACATGCCCAGATTATGGGCTTGATCCCCAGTGTGGAGCATGCAGGAGGCAGCCTATCAATGATTGTCATCATTGATGTTTCTATCTCTCCCTTCCTCTCTGAAATCAATGAAATATATTTAAAAAAAGAAACCACAACACTAAAAAAAAAAAAAAAAAGAAAAAAAAGAAAGAAATTAGTGACATTTTGGGAGAGAGCAG